AGCGATGGCCTCCAACCTACTAGCTTCTTGCTACTAGTAGTAATGGCTCCCCGGGACTTTTCTAGACTCAACACAAAACAGTTCATGGACGATCAAACAGAGGTGACTCTCAAGGTCTGCTCTCAGAGCCTGCTCTCAAGACTCAGTCATTGACCAAGCGCCCAAAAAAAATGACCGAGTCACTGACGGATTAATTCTAAGAGCTCCTTCCCTGTGTAAGGAACTGAGTACCCACCATGATCAAATGCTAGAATCAAAAACAAACATGTAGGACAATGATGCTATTGGGAGCAAGGCAACTCAAGTGCCCTAACATAACCGTCCTGTAAGGGCTGCCATGCGTGAGGTGGAACCAGAAACAACCTGAAGCAACTGGAAGCAAATGTGGGCCGCGGGAACAATGCAAGTGAAAACCTTAATATCTGACAATATCATATTTTAATATCTGATAATGTTTAATTTTTCATTGATTGAGGCCTGCCTTTAATTTGTAGGAGCTGGGGTCCCCGGCTTCCTTGGCACGCTTTCGCTCTGCATCGAGTTCCTCCTGCGCAATGAAAATGCCACAAGCGACATGATGCTGCGTCTATTTTGCAATACAGCATGTAACGTGTGCATCAGCTGTAATATCCAGTACAATCCTTCAGTGTCACAACATCTGTCCGAGGTTGTCGAAGGTTGTGAGAGGTCGAAAGAGTTTTGTCGTAAGCCGCCCTGTTCACCCCTTTTGAAACGTGCACCTGGCTCCCCCCGTTCGACAACTTGCTCCCCCTCTCTTCGATCTGGGCATCAGACCTCCAAAACTTTCCTCCTTGCGGCCTCTGCTACAGTCTCCGCAGCAGCCTGGATGTCAGGAAACAAAGCAAAGAAGAGCGGATTCCCAGTCTTGGGGGGGTCGGTCTACGAGTTTGTCATGTTCCATCTGTTTCATCCACGGGACCTGCTCCTACGAGGTCTATGATTCAAGATTCCACAAGATTGCGCCAACATCTCTCTCTCGTCGCTTCATGCCTTCTCCTGCTGCCGCTGGCGCTCAGCTTCCTGGCTGCATCATGAGCATAGGAGCGTTGGTGAGAGCATGCAACTACAGGGATGTTCAAAGGCCTAAGCATTCATTCCGTCTGCATTTCTGTACGTATGCGGCAGCTACAGGCCTGCGCCTTCAGAGCTGCGCATTGTTCTAAAGCCTGGTCGCAGTGCGCAGCATGAGCCAATTCCAGTGTGTTCTCTGCCTGTCAAGACCTGGACTCTAGAGTCTAGAGGCCAAAAAGCGGGCTTGGCTAATCAGGAAAAGAAAGTTGTTTTACTTTGCTTTAACTTTTAACATGTTTTAACTCTACAATGATTGAAACCAGGCTGAAAAGTCTCTCGCCTCAGCCGCTCGCTTCCGCTCAGCAGTAAGTTGCTCCTCCGAAGCAACAGGCAATGGCACACAACAGGTCTCGGTATGTCTCGCAGTCTTATTCCGCATGTACACCAGTAGCAGGAAGAAACGCGGAAAGAAAGCGAATGACCCAAGATCTCCATGTTTTATCATTTTTTTCTGACTGCACCAAACATCCATGTAAACGAACTGCCAATTCCGAACCAGCCCAGGCCTGCAGCTGATGTCGCTGTCTTTCTTCCTCTATGGCGTTTTGGAGGTCTGCTGGTGCCTACATGACTGCCATAGAGTGGTGAAAGTCGTGAAATGTGACTTTACCAACTCAAGTAGAGCCTCCTCAACTCAATAACTTGAAGAATCAATTCTTGATTGAGGCGCCTTTGCTTTTAGCATTTCGCATTCTTTGAAGGCCTGGCAAGAAAGTGGGAGCAAGCGGGCACGGGCCACAAGGCGGAGAGCAAGCGGCAAGGAAACATGGGCTGGAAAATCACCCTGGTGAGACTCATATGATCTCACTTCAAACAATGGCACCTGGCCCAATCAAATGAGCGTGAATATGAACTGGACTGTTACTGTATTGTTACGCAAGCAAGAGCTTCTGGAGCAGTGGGCTTGGGGCCGTGAGCATTCACCTCTTCTCACGCCTGTTCAGCCCGGCGCTGTTCCGCTTCCAGCTGTTCCTGTGATCGGGCATGCTTCTGTCAGCATAAGTAATTATAAGTGGTATATACAAAGCACCTTGCTCCACCTCATGTAACCTTCACACATCAACTGAACCGAAAGGATCACGATTATGAATACAGGGGAACCCACCCAAAAATGGTACGACCCGTCGTGGTGTGTTTAATTTCCCTGAAAATCTTGGAAGCGTTTCCTACAGCAATAGTAGCTTCCTGCCGATGGCTTGGCCGCTTGAGGGGCTACCTCTTGCTAGTTGGCTTCCAAGCTGGCGGCCTACTAAAGTCAAAAAGTGTGTTTCATCGTTGAAACTACTTTCATGGAAGCTCCGTAGCCTTGAGCGCTTGCCTTTGCTTTTCTTCCTCCACAGCGGTGTTGGCATTCTCCAGTGCCTCACCATGGGGTCCTTTGCTCCTAGTAACGATGCCAGGAGCCCCTAGTAGCTTCTTGTTCCTAGGAGCCCCCAGTGGCGTCCTTGCTCCTAGTAGCGATTCCAGGAGCCCCTAGTAGCTTCTTGTTCCTAGTAGTCAGGCCAGGAGCCCCTACTAGCGTCCTTGCTCCTTGTAGCCATGCCCTTTGTTACTAGTAGCTACTGTGGGTCCTTTATGTCCAGCCTGCTGCTTGAGCCTCTCACACTCTGCGACTGCCTTAGTCACTGAATAGCGACATAGCAGTTTGGGTACTGTAGCTGAACAAATGAGTGACCAGCAAAACCATGCAGCTTGTTTCTTTGAAAATGGCATCAAGCTAAGAAGTTGACTTCTGTGGCGCGTTCCTTTTCAACTTTCAACTGCTCCTTGACCACCCAATGCGAAGGAAAAAAACAAACATGACACGGAAGGATGGGCAGGGTCACTGCACTCACAAGTTGTTGTCAACTGGACAGGCTGGACAGGCTTGGGTCTTGACACGTTTCGAAGGAACCAATATTGGGGTTGATGAGCACTGATGCGATTTAAACCAACAAATGGACGACAAAAAGCAAGTCATCAGCGCGTGTCTTTCCTCACAGAATATGGAGACCGATTCATCCATTTTGTCAGCATCATAATTATTACACCATAACATGTGGTGTAAAATGTGTCAAACAATATGGCTGTGCGTCAAAACCTGGATACCTTACGAGTAAAGCCCACGGAATACGTCTTCAAAACATCCCGAAGGCCCGAAGAGTCCTTTAGCTCGGCCCGCTGCTTTTCCTCTTCGATTGCAGCCTCGACATCTGCAAGTGCCTCACCGAGGTCGGGTCAAATGAAGCACATGAACACACGACGCAAATGAGTCCATCCCTCAAACACAGGAAAGTTATTGTGCACCCGGAAAACTGTTTTCTCCATGGCCCTGGTCCTCTTGCAGGCAGGCTGCTGAGTCTTTGTCCTTTTTGAGGATTGCGCACTCAGCCAAGACCTGGATAAAATATGGTGAAAGAGACTGCGAAAGCGACTGCGCAGAGCTGGACAACAGCGTCCAGCTGAGAGAGAAAAGGCTTTTGGAGATTGTTCTGGATAAATCTTCTTCAGAACTTCCAAGATAAAAGGCACATAGCTCAAAGTCGCTCATGTAAGGGACATGAGATCGCGTGGCAAAAGGCTCCCATACATCGCATGTCCATTGAAACCGGCCTCCTCCACACGTTTTCGCTCGGCAACAATCTGCGCCTGGACAAGGGATCACGGTTTCCTCCAAAATCAACATTCCTTGCCTGCTTGGATTTCCAAACTCCCCTGTGCCTAGCTCCTTAGTTTCTTTTCATTACCCTTCATGTTATTTTGTTTGTCGAGAAACTTGAAAAAAAAAGTTTGGGGCACTATTGTGACTGTGTTCACGCTTCGCAAACGCATCTTTTCTTCAAAAAGCCTTCTCCACTACATTGGCTTGTTCCGGATGAAATGCACAAAGACATCCCTGGCGCCAACCTTCCCCTTTTGTCAATTTAAAGAAAGAAAGCCAGGTCCAGGGTGATCAAGTTGCGTTACCGACACCCTCCGTTTGGATCGTCGAAACCTTGCTTCATCTATATATGTTCATCTCACAACCCCTCAAACTCAGCCTGGAGCTCAGCGCATTGCACCTTTCATGAAGGCCCACAAAGGGCATGAGAGCACTTTGGAAGCAGCACGGCATATCAACAAATCCGGTTGTTGAACCAAAACACATGAAATACGGAAACGGGCGCACACCAATCTCGTCCGACTGAAGACTGAGAAGGATCCTGACTCATTCATCCTGCTTCATCCTGACTCGATAATATAAGGTGTTTTCAGCGCTGTGTTGGATGGTGGAATATGCTGGAATCGTGCCTGTTGCTGTGACTGAGCCTGCACAAGTGCTGCAAAGCTTGTACTGCAAGAGAAAGTGAGTGATGAAACAAGGCTTTTGGTCCGCTGACCAAGGACACATATTCTCATATTCACAAACAAACTGGATCCGTGCCTGGGAAGCACGCTGCTGCTCTGCTTGGAGCTTTTCCTAAAGCGAAAGAGAAACGATCAAAGGAAAGCAAAGCCACAAGCATGACGTGTTGAAGGCCTCAAAGTTTCTTCCCCTATCTCATCCCTACGTAGACCAATGGATGCGGCTGAGATGTTTGGTGTTCCACAAAAAAAAGGCATGCGATCTACTTATCCGATTATCCCAACGGTGCATTTTCCGGTCACCTCCAATTCCCTTCCATTAAACTCCGTTGGCATGGAGCACAACTCTACGTACTATACATACTGCTGGAACACAGTCTTGTCTTCGGTGCCTGCGCTGCGGCAGCCTCTCCCTTCGCCTGAACGGAGCTCACTGAACACTGCTGTGGAAATGCAACGCTCACTGAACACTGCTGTGGAAATGCAACGCATTCAGCCACAGCATGGCAGCATAGATGCCCTTGCTCATGGAAATTCCATTGCAGCATGTTGAGCTACAGCATACTTTGCTCAGTCAGAAGAATCAAGGTCGGCTGTTGCGCTCAACCCCGACCTGGCTACGGAGGCTTTCCAACTCGGCATGAGCCTGGGCAGCAAGTGTTGAGGGGCTTGATATGTCTGCTCATAGTTTCCATTGCTAGTAGGTTGGAGGCCATTGCTATTAGGTCTTATTAGGTACAGTAAGTCTGCTCACAGTTTAGAGGACCAAGTTGTTCGATCAATTCTCCAATCACACGCTGCAGTTGGTCGATGCTTGTTCAGCCGCAGGATGCCAGCCTCTTGGGTCTTCTTTCGCTCCGAGTCAAGCTGCTCCTGGCTGTTGTTGTGCAGGCATTCACTTCACAAATGGTCAGCCCCTACAATTCTACGAGTACCATCTATATCACTATATCCATCTATGGTGAAGGCAAGAAGGCCCCAAAAACGTCCAGTCGTTCATATTCCTTCTTGCTTGAGTTCTCGCGTGAAGCCGTGAAGCGAGCACAAGGCCACGAAAATAAACACAAAACCTGTGCAAACGACCCGTTCCCAAAAGCATCAAGGAATCAAATGCGCATAATCATGAGTGCTGAGAAGGCCTCAATGGCTTTCCTTTGCTTCTCCGAGTCGGCTGAGACAGCCTCACTGTCAGAACAATCCGAGGCACATCTGCTCTGCCCACTCCGTTCATGCCCCACTTAGACACGAAGCTTCTCTTGTTCAAACAGGGAGAATCTGGCATGCCACATGCCCCTCAAAATTGGGGTGGAGCTGGTACAAGCTTCGAACGCCCAACATAGCCTGAATCTTGAGAACTTCCAGCTCAGCCACTGCCTCATAATTGCCGAACATCACTCAACCCATCTCAACCCGAAACCTAAAGGTTTCGCAAAAAGGTCCCAGTCGCTTCTATCTGTGCTCATGCTTGTCCCAGTCCATAGATGTCAATAGTCGCCCTGTCAAGCTCGTCTGGCCGGGCCATGCCCTTATCATTTCTTGGCTGTTCCAGGCTCGCCTCCTTGACTCTTTGCTGTTCGACCTTGAGCTGCTCCTCTCATAGGACGTCCGCAACAGGATGCGCATGCACTTGCGTCTGTGTAGTGGCATGGAGGGTAAGGTGACCTGTATTACTATACAGCAATTCTTGAGGTATGAGCTATGCTCCCCCAGTCTTGCATGACGCAGGACAACAGTGGTCGCTGGTGCCATGGCTTGTTGTGTCCAATAGGTTCTTGGAAAAAGCCGTGGAGCGCCTCAATTTCCTTCTTCTCAGACTCCACTGCGGTTCCTCTTTTGGTTGCCTGCAATTTGAGTCTGGTGGGCAACTGGACTTCAGCAGGTATATTTCCCTTCCAAGAACGACCGTGGTCTGGGTCCAAGTCATCTCAAGTCCCGATTCGCCACATCGCCTCGCTGAGGGTGGTGCACTCGGCCAAAACCTGAGGGAATTAGTAGCGTCCTTGCTCCTAGTAGCGATGCCCTCTGTTACTAGTAGCGCCTTAATTTAGCGATGGACACATCGTGGCTGATTGTGCACAATCCAAGCCTCTCAACCCGACTATGATGTGAGGTTTATGGTGAGGTTTATGGTGGCCAAACAATTGCCACATGAGGGAACAAGTCACATCATTCACGATGAGCTGAATATATCCGCCCAGTTCCGCTGCCTCTTGCGTGCGCCGGCGCTCTGCTTCAAGCATAGCCTCCGGTCAACGTGGCTAGAGAAGGCCAAGCCTTCTCGCAGAAGGGTTTCCTCGATAAACCTTTCACACCTGGCAGTCCTTCACCTGTTACAAGGACCTGGAAAAACACGTCTATAAAGTTCACACATCTATTTAGATTAATTAGTTTGGGCCTCTTCTAACCCCGGATTCCGGACGTGCAGTACAAACGACCCAGGCTCTCCACCTGCAACTCGATCTTGGCCGACTCGTTGGAGCTACTCTTCGTGCTCAAGTCAGAGGCCTACGGCACTTAGCTTCATGAAACTTGGATGCAAAGAAGCTGAGATTCTCCAGAGAATCAAGATATGGAAAGGTCGAAGTGTGGGTGGTCGCCCTATTCTGAGGCCACTATCGAATCACTGTGCGAAGAAGGTCAATAAAAATCAATAAAACACTACAAGTATCATTTGCCACCTGTATCAAACACAGGGAAATTACAGTAAGTTTACGTCTTCATCCTGAAGCAATCCGCTCAAACCATGTCCAACACCGAACGCGATCCGTGCCTGCTTCTTTAGCGCCTCGCACTCGGTCAAAGCCTGCTGAGTCGGTAGAATGGGTCAAATGACATGTTCATGAGACTTCCTCCTGGGTGCCCTACTAGTAACAAGAAGCTACTAGGAGCAAAGTGCCTCGCTTCTAGTAACAAGTGCCTTACTAGTAGTAACAAGAAGCTACTA